TCCGACAATGTTTGCCAATCCGTCCTGCTCTGTAGTAAAATCAGCGACATTTGACCGTCCTGTTGCTCCCATTGAAATGTATACAGCCTGTTTAAAACCTAAAACTTTTAATTGTCCATAGCCTGCTGTTGTTACCACTGTCCTGTTTGAAATGGATACTAACTGACTGGATGCCCATTAACCTTATAACTCCCAGTGTGTGTGTGTGTGTGTGTGTGTGTGTGTGTGTGTGTGTGTGTGTGTGTGTGTGTGTGTGTGTGTTTGTGTGTGTGTGTGTGTGTGTGTGTACAGAGAGACAGCCAGGTTAATAATGGATATAAGAAAGTTTTTTTCAAAAAAAGGAGCCACATTCAGATAAAAGTGTAAGATCAAATGATCCCTCAATAAAGGATAATGTTGGATCAGTGTTTCAATGTTTATATCTTTTATTAGATGTTCATGTGGTTTGGTTATTTGCCTTTTGGTTGAAAGTACACTGAGAGAGGACTTTTTTAGTGATCTTAATAGTATTTTTTTCATATTAATGTAATTTTTCATCTAATTGAATCTATTTGTGTTCGATTGTCAGTCCAAAGAGGGAGAGAGGAAAGAGGGAACGTGAGGAGAAAGTACAAGATCAGGAAGAACCAGGTAAGCAAACAGACAGGGAGCAGTGACAGGCAGAAACTGTGAAACTGACAAAGAGAAAAACCTGATTTTACTCACAGTCTGGAAGTTGTGTCCTCCCTGTATTAAAGCTGCTGTACAGAATCTGCTAAACAAACTGGGCTGAAACATTTTGACCCTCTTTAACAACATTCCAACATAACATTATCATTGATCGGGGAGATTAAAATTAATGATATATTTTTATGTGGTTCAGCCACAACTCTACTGAAACCTCAGCCAGTAATAGGTCGGCCAACCTTTGGACCGTCCAGTTGTCTGTATGACTGCTGCAGTACGTGCATCACATGTGCTCACTATCAGAAAGAGCCAAACAGCCCTGGTGGAGTGAGCAGCTGTAAAGAGAAGCAGATGCTCTGTTTCTACAAATGTTTTAAGCTTGTTTCAAAGATTCTGTACAGCAGCTTTAAATGTTTTCCAAAAGCACACAGACACTTATCAGTGTTTCTCACACTTGTTACAGTGTGGACCACCTGATAAAATGTCAAGCTGTCCCAAGCACCACCATGAAAGCATGAAAGTCATAAATCTTACAACACAAAATTAGTATCTGCAGTAAAGATTTTTTCATACATTGTATACATTCTACCACAGGCAAAGTTGCCTCCATTTTTATAGTTTTTATTAATATTTTGTAATAATTTATTCTGTTTTGGGAGTGTTTTTATGTATCTGTATTATATTATACACACACTTAAAAGTGAATCTCTGTCCAAAAAATGCACTCAGTTTACTTTTTACTCACTGTGAGCATCATTCATTATTCTCCCAGTAATTAAGGTTAGGATATGTATTTTTTTATTCCAATCCATTCTTCTTTTGCAGCATTTAAATAACCTTTATCAGATTTGATGGTTTTGTTACAGACTTTTCAAAAAAGTGTTTTGCTTTTCTTTCACAAATGTGGGATTAAATTGTGTTAAAATGTACAAAACAGTGATGTCATGTTTTGTGACGAGGACCCAGGCACAGAGAGACTTGATGAATTTAAGAATCTTATGATTTAATAAAGAAATTTGCAGACTTGCACAGAGATGGTAAAATTATGATGACTGATAATGGAGACGAAGACAACAGACGATGAGGACAGGGAGGAACAGGGGTTTAAATGCACCAAGGAGACAGTCAGAGAGAACTCGGGACAACTGGAGACATTTAAGGATGCAGGGACTGACAGAGACGGGGAAGACGTCTCATCGTGACGTGTAAAGTTTATCTTGCCTGGCTGGGCAGCTCTCTGGGTGCTCAGCACCCCCAAAGCTCTGATCCTAGAATCGCCCCTGTTTCAACACGTCACTGATGTCAAAGACTCCGCCTCCTCCGCCCTGTTAAGGGAAAAGGGTAACACCACCTGGGTCTGGGTGCAGTTCCCCCTCCAGGGGCAAGGGTACCTAGACCCGGTTCGTAGAGTACGCTTGGGGAGTGTGATCGTGTGTACAGCGTCTCTTTATGTCTGTCTCCACGTTGGTTGAGTGTGGAGTAAGTGCATATGAGAGCATGAGGGTGGGAATGGATGTTTGTATCTGTGTGTGCCTGTATGTCTGTGTCTATATGTCAGGTTGGGTGTCAGGCGCCACCTCTCTGGGGACATCTCAGGCCCTCCAAGGTTTGGAGGCCTATCTCCCCCCACCACCACTTCCCCTGCCAGTGGCGGACTCCCTCAGACATCGGTGCGTTGGTGGTTCTTTGTGTCCGGGGATGGGCGTCCAGGTACACACCGGCTCACTCCTTGGCGGCCGCTTATCGGGGCCTGGAGCCTGGGGCTCGCTCGGGCCACTTCGGAGGTGGGGTGCCCCCGGCCTCTCGGCCTGGGGCTCGGTCACTCAGGCACGGCTGGCTGCCGGCGGAGCTCACGGGCGCGTCACTGCAACTCCCCCTGGCTTCTGCTCCGCGGCTGCTGAGTGAGCCCTCATCTGGGACTCTCCTCAGCTCTTTC